TTTGTGTTAAAAATCTAGACAGCTCCTCATATTAAGTGTAGTTTAGACAAGGTAGTTCACTTCTGAGCTTCTGTTTTTTCATCCATAAAATAGGATAAAAAATAATGACCTTGCCCGGCCGGTGTGGCTCAGTGGTTGAGCATTGACCCATGTACCCAGAGGTCGCCAGTTTGATTCCTGGTCAGGGCACATGCCCAGGTTGTGGGCCCAATCCCCAGTGGGGGCCGTGCAGGGGGCAGCCAATTGATGTTCTCCCTCATCAATGTTTCTATCTCTCTCTCCCTCTCCCTTCCTCTCTCTCTAAAAATCAATAAAGAAAAAATTTTTTTTAAAGGATGTGTATTGTTAATAATAATAATAACCTCAAGAGTCTTTAAAAGGGTGAAATAAGGTAACATGCAAATTCCCAGCACAGTGCCTGGCAGAATTGACTGCTCATAAACTGTTAGTTTTTCTTCTTTTTTCTTTTCTGTTCACTACTTTCTGACTCTCCTGCTCCCAGAGCTCATTCTCTGTCACAGTTTAACTACTGCCACAGATGGGTTCTCTGATTACATGCAAGCAGATCACGTTCTTGTTTCCCAGTGGCACCTGAAAGAGGAGTCTTTTTCCTATACAAGGTTGGCTGAAAGCCTTGCACTGTCTATGTCCCCTAGGCCTAGACCAATGTCTTAGACATTACCATTCCAATGAGAGGAGAGACCAGTGCCAGAAAAAACTGAGCAAAAGTCACACTCCCAGGACAGGTTTAGTTATACCCACAAGGCTCCCCCTACCAAAGAAAAAAAAACCTGATCAAATCAGAGTAGCAGCGTTTCTTCCTTCTTGGCAGAGCCACATATTTTTTTTATGATGACCAGTCTTGGGGGAAGGGCGAGAAAGGTGGGATGAAGACTGCTAGCTGCCCACCAAAGTCCATTTGTTCCTTCCATAGTAATAGAGATTTGGCTGGAACATAACTGCCTAGACAAGAACCTCATTTGCCAGCGCCCCTCGCAGCCAGTTGTGGCCATGTTACTAAGCCCTCATCAATGGATGTGAACAGAAGGCTTGTATGCAGCGTTTGTCTTGCTTGTTTAAGAATAAATCTTTGGCCCTGGACTTTGGTTCTTTCTCTCTCCTTGCTAATTAGGAATTCTTACACCATAGTAAACTTGGAAGCTGCATGTTGAGGGTGGTAATCATTATCCTTGGGCCCCTGAATGACTGAATAGAACAGAGCCATCCACATACTCGGAACACCACCTTAGACCATACTACATTGGACATCCTAGTCAAATCCTACCCGTTCTTCATATCCTTCCTCACATCTCCAGGAAATATCCATGAATACTTCTCTTCCTCTTCTAGACTATCACATTTAATATCTGTTCCCCACGTTTTCAGGTACTTAACTATATTGTTTCCTATTCAGTTCTATTTGGTGTTATCTTGTTTTGTTCTCTTTTTATTTTGGGGTGTGTGTGTGTGTGCCTCTTGTCTCTTAAATTAGAAGGAACTCTCAAGATGTGACACTTTGCTTCTGCTCCTGTTTTCCCAAAAGCACAGCTGCAGTGCATGCTGATAGAGCCCCTTTCCACAGCTGCTGTGAATGTTGGCTCAGAGGTGCCCCATCACCAAAGACTTGGCCTCCGCCAAATGGGATCATCCTATGAGGCTAATTGCCCCCTCTGGAGGCCAGCAGCCAATGATGACTGACATGGGGTAGAAGAGGATAGTCACAAAAGGTGGGGCCAATTCTGTGGTGGAAATTGAGCTTTAGAACCTTCCTAAAGAACTAGGCTATTGTTAATCTCCAACCAATACAACTTCCTTGCTTAGCTTTCTTCCTCTGCTCCAGCCTGCAATAGCTCACAGGTTCTACCCTTCTCCGGAGAGCGGCCCTTAGCTAATGGAACCTCCTTGCAACCCTCCTCTCGCCCCTGCTCCCCACATGGATGGCCCTCAACCAATGACTGACTGATGTGGAGGCATAAAAAAGACCTGCCCCCTTAACTCAAGGGGGTGTGATCCTGTCATGTGTTGTATGCCCCAGCCAAGTGGAACAGTTCCCTCTGGATCAGGCCAGGGCTAGACATGACCTGAGACACACCGTGTTTGGCTTTCCCCCTTTTCTATCCACTTCACTCTCTCCCTTGCAGGTTCTCTCTGAAAACTGATCCCTCAATAAATGCCTTTCTCAGTCTCTGCTTCTAACTTCAGTCTACTGGTGTTGATACACTGCCATCATTTCCCCAAATCACCGTCCCATTCATATCTGGGGACTCTTCAGATCCATGATCTGGGGTGTGTGTGCCAACACGCCGAAATTAGGTTGAAAGTGCTGAAGGGGCTAATTGAAGAACAAGTGGGCTTTACTAAAGTAATTGTAAGGAATCTACTAAATAGGGTTGTTATGAAGGTTTTAAAAGTTAAGTGAGTTAATGTGTGTAAAATGTTTAGACCACTGCCTGATATGTAGAAAGTGCTCTTAGTTATTGGGCAGCGGTTTCTTTTATCTTTTTTCTTTACTTAAGTATTCCATGTGTGCCTAAACGAGTGCTTGGCACATGGTAGGCATTCAGTAAGTATCTGTTGAATGAGTGATTACTGAAATTTGGCTTTGAGGGCTCAAGGTGACATGCTGGATCTGGCCAGCAGAGGGCAGACCAGTAAAGACAAAAGAGCCCCTGGGCTGGAGGAAGTGGGATAGCACTTCCAGACAACTGAGGTGTGGAGGACTCATGGGAGTACCTGTATCATAGAATATTTGAGAGTTTAAATTATACCACCTTAAAATCCTATAATTTTATTTAGTCCAAGCCTGGGTGTGTGAGATATACTGAGCCCCTACTTCGTGAATTCAGATAAGTAAGTAGTTTCAGGCCTGGAGATCACTGGAGTTGCTCTGCTGTCTTTTGAGCTTGTTACTACTCCCTACTCCTCTCAGTAAATCCTCTTTTGTGCTTATGCTAATATAATTGGGTTTTTGTAACTTGCAAGCAAAATAATTTCTATTATTTTATTATTAAGTCCTGTGAGTATAAGGACTGTGTGAAGGGGAGCCTCCTCCCTGTATGAGGACATTGAAATCCAGTGCAGCCACAATGGACCTGCTTTTTCTCTTCAGGGCATGGTCTTGCCCCATTTCTGTCTCCAAGCTTCCCTTGTCTTGTTCCCTTCACCCACTCTGCCCATTTAGATCTGTCCTTTCAAAGCCCAGTTCAAATTCTACCTTTCCCTGACTCCTAGATCTACTCAATCTCATTTCTCAAAACTCTTTAAGCATCCATCACCTGCCCATTCACTCTTTTTTATTTTTAGTTTTTATCCTCACCCGAGGACATTTTTTGCATTTATCTTCAGATAGAGCGGGAGGGAGAGAGAGAGAAACATCAACGTGAGAGAGACACATACAGTGGTTGCCACCCACACGACCCCAACTAGGGCTGGGGACAAACCGCAACCGAGGTACGTGCCCTTAGCAAGAACCAACCTGGGCTCTCTGGTCTGCGGGCTGATGCTCTAACTGCTGAGCCAAACTGGCCAGGGCTCACAGCTTCTTAAGCAGGTCTCAAGAAGAGATAAGGAAAGGCTTGAGCACATGTGGTCTTAGCACAGATTTGCAGGAAGTGAACATAATTGCTCATGGGACCAAACATGTTCTGTGATCCTCCATTCAGGAAACACATAGGCATTAACATATATGCATATATGCATAGCCCATGGACACAGACAACAGTGTGGTGAAGGTGGGGTAGGTGGTAGCTGGGTGAAGAGGAACAAATGGAGGACCTCTGTAATAGTGTCAACAATTAAAAAAAAGAGAGAGAAGGGAACACATAGGCATTTATTTTTATTTTTTCAAAGTAGAAGTAGCTGCCCCCATTATTATACAAGTGACATAAATCAAATAGTACATACAATTTTAAAGTAGAAAGAGAACATTACCTGTAATCCTTCTCCTCAGAGATAACTGATATAAAAATATTCTTTCAGAGTTTTTGCTATACATGAAAGTGTATGTTTCAATAGGGCCTTTTCGAGACCCCATGGAGACGTCTTAAATAGAAATCAAACTGGCCCTGGCCGGTTTGGCTCAGCGGTTAGAGCGTCAGCCTGCGGTCCGGAGAGACCCGGGTTCGGTTCCCGCTAAGGGCACGTGCCTTGGTTGCAGTTTGTCCCCAGCCCTGGTTGGGTCGTGTGGGTGGCAACCACTCGATGTGTCACTTTCACATCGATGTTTCTCTCTCTCTCTCTCCCTCTCACTCTATCTGAACAAAATATCAAAAAATGTCCTCGGGTGAGGATAAAACAAAACAAAACAAAAAAATAGAAATCAAACTGAACAGTGGAAGGTTCCAGCCTGGGATTGTAACTTGTAAAGTATTGTACATATTAGATTGAACCATATAAAACTACTGATATTCAGCTGTTTTTGACTCACAAACACAGCAATTTTATTAATTCATTTTTATTATAGATGTTTCTCCTTTTTCCTCCCTAGGCAGCTTCCTCCCTATCCTGCCCCTACCCCCAGCATTGTTGTCTATGTCCATTGGTTACACATACATGCATATAAATTTTATCTCATCCTCTCCTCTGCCCCCGTCTTCTGAGGTTTGTCATTCTAAACCGTACTCCTTTCTCTGTCTCTAGGTCTGTTTTGTTCATCAGCTTTTTTTGTTCATTATATTCCACAGATAAGTGAGATCATGTGATATTTGTCTTTCTCTGATTGGCTTATTTCACTTAGCATAATACTCTCCAGGTCCCTCCATGTCATCTCAAAGGATAAGAAATCTTTCTTTCTTACAGCAAACACAGCAATTTTATATGGTTCAATCTACTGTACATGAAGCCTAGAATGTCAGAACTGCTATTAGAGACTTTGAAGTCTAACAAGTCCACTGTGCTGAAGAGGGAAAAGGATCAGAGAAGTGTTTAGGCAGTGTCATATACCACATTAGTAGTAGAACTGGACTGGTTTTCTTTCTACTGAACCAGGTACTGGCCTTGCACACTTTGTTTCTTTTAATATGATAACATTCCAGATGTGATAATAATCTTATAGAAGCAAATTTCAACTTGGTATCAGAAAATTTCTCACAGAACTAAATTGAAATGGGAGGCTGCTTTAGCGGTAGTGAAATCTCATGACTGTAGCTGTGGCTGGGAAGGACACTGTGACAACTGTGATGTGGCTGGAGAGGCACGTGAAACATGGAGCTCACGAGGCTCAACATTCAGAGGCCTGTGCATGCACGACTCCTCTTAAGGTCTTAGGTGGGGTCATGGGAATGTATGAACATGGTAATCTATTTTTATAATATTTGCATAAGTAGGATATTTTTGAATTCTTTTTCTTAAGGAGGGCTCCCAGAATTGTGTGACTTTTAGGCCTGGATCCATTCCTGTGTGGCACAGTTTTGAAAAGCACTGGCAAGGAGACCAAAGCTCCTGAGTTCCAGTCATGGCACTGCTCTGGCCCAAATGGGCAGAAGGGCACTTGTCCTGCTTCTCTCACAGAGGGGTAAAATCACAGACGTTAAGTGGGTTGAAAATATAAAATGTGAACAATTATAAATAAGTAACATTATACCTATCTGTGTTATGGGATAATCATTGTGGCTTCTCATGGTCATTGAAGATAACACACACAAAAATGTGTCCTCAGTACATCTTCCTGTTTCATTTCCCTCTGCTACAACTTCTTTTTCTCCTTCCTCAAGTCCCTAGTCCTCCAGCCCCCAATATTCCAGCCACTAGACCAGTCATTGATTATTATCTTTTGCTGCTTCTATATAATTGTGCATGGTTCCCATTGTCTATCAAGTCTATCTTTGCCGGAATAAAAACCCTTTCCACAAGGTCCAGATCTGCCCCTCTCCTCCCAGCCCAGGGATAACATCCCTTAGCACTGTTTCTTGTTGATCGTACAGACAGGAACACTGATGTGACCCATGACTGAGTTATGGAGGTCCCAGAAGACAATTCTCAGGTGTCTTGATCTTCAGCCATCCTGGGTTCCTAGCATCAGATCATAGACACACGGTTCTTGATATATACGTGGTAGGGGTCACTGCGCTTGTCCACTTTGCGGGAGCGGGTGTATCCCAGGATGAGGCTGCCCACAGTGGCAGAAAATAGGAACATGACAAAAAGAATATACATGTAGGAGTTGTCATCACGGCCAGGTAAGCTGGCCCGCCGCTCCTCAGTCAGGTTGTCTGGTCCTGGCCGGCAGAGCAAGTTGCTGTGAAGAGTGGCATTGAGAGCCTTCAGAACAGTGTGCAGACTATGATACCAAGTCTCAGTCCCATTGGTTGTCTCCATAGCAACACAGATTTTGGTAGGAAAGAACTGGAGGACACTCTGGTAGCAACAGAAAAGAGGAAGATGGATTCCATTACCTGCAGGTTGAATGACCTTCTCCCTTTCAGACCCCAGCTAAAATCTCAACATCAGAGTTTGTTCTACTTCTATACTCATCTATCTTTTTCACTAGACTGCAAGCTCAATGAAGGCAGGGACTGTGTCTGTTTCACTCACTGGTATATACAAGCACTCATGACAGCATTCAATAGATGCTCAATGAGTACCTGTGGAATAAAGCCTTCCTGGACCATTGTAACCCTGGTTGACGTGTCCTTTTTTTTTTTTAAATTCTGTATATCACTAAGTTTTAGGCTAGAAGGAACTGAGGGATTATTTAATCTACTTCCTTCTATTTATACAGGGAAACAGAGACCCAGAGAGAGTTAAGTGGCTTGACCGTGATCTCAGAGGACATTTAGAGGTAGAGTTGAGACAGAGTCCCGCTTTTTGATGGGCAACTCAGCTTCTCAACTCCCATGCAAGCCCTTGGCAGGACTGTGTGGCATTATTGGAAGATATGCCTCAGAACTCTCCTTTAGCACAGTTCTTCTTTTTATTTCACAGACACCATTTAGATGTTTGGGGATGGCTTAGATTCACCCTACCTGGAACCAGAGGCTGGGCCATTTGCCCTCTCAAGTATCCTATGTCCCAAGCACTCTGGGTATTCTTCACTATTTAGGATTTTGCTGGAAAGTATTCTGTAGGAAATTCTGTTGGGAAGGAGTTGTCTGGGAAAGCAGAGAAAGGCTGATAACCACTGCAGGCATGGAAGAGAGAACAGGGTTGGACCTGAGGGTGGAGAGTGACAGTGGCACTCAGTCTGGCTTGGGGTTTTACCTGCCCCAGAGAGAGAAGACACAGCACCTAACCATCCTGCCTTCTGACACAGTCACTGCATACCTGGCATATGGTAGATGATAATAAATGTTCCTTTTCCTTCTTCTCAGAGATCTTTGGTCTATAATATAAAAAAAAATCCAACGAAAGTCTTGTATCCTGGTATTGAAAAAACCATGTCATTCCCTTTAAATAAGGCTCCACACCCACTTCCTTCTGGAAACCTTCACTGAGGGTTCCCCACCCCTCTCCACAGCTTTATCATTATAGCCTTGCCTTTGCCCAGCACTTACACATAAGGCAACTTGTGGCTGTTTTCTTGTAACAGCCCTGCTGACCACATGCTCCTGGTCAGTAGGGCTGTATCTCTTCCCCAAATCTAGGGGGCTAACCTACTCTGAGATTGGCTGGGAATTCTCCTTCCCTCTATACCCTCTAGTGAAGATGGCCATGTTAGGGACTTCTTCATAGTCTAAGCACTCAGAGCTCACTAACTGGCTCCAAAGCCCTCCTTTTATCTAGCTAGAGATGTCAACCAACCAAAGTTAACAATTTGATTATCAACCATAAGGTCTCTTTCCCAGAAAAGATAACAGTTAGTTATGACCATGATAAATCTTCATGGACAACTCTAAGAATGCAGAAGTTTGGGGGAAGAGACCAAATAATACAGCAATTACCCAGAACTGGCCCACATTTCCTGCAAGGCCTTTGGAGCCCCATGCTATGTAGCACATGGGCTACTTTATCTGGATGGGGGAGGGGAAGAGAACAAAGGACTTGCTGAGTTAAGATCTGGGAGGCATAGGTTCTCATCTACAACCCCCCTGTCTGGAAAGAAATTTGTGCCTTCTTCTTCCCTCAGATGGGCCAATGGAAATCAGGAGCAGCACAATGCAATTAATGGCTCAACTAATCATTCAACCAGTCATCATTTATGGAGGCCTACTCTTGGACAGGCTCAGACCCAGTCCCTGTACTTGTGGGCACATTGCCAGCTCTTCTATAATACAGGGGACAAGCCAGGGTCTACTGGGGCTTAAAGGAAAAAGGGATGGATTTTGATCAGGGCTCAGAGACTTCACAGTGATGGAAGCATTTCAGTGGACCTTGAAGGGTTTTCAGGAAGTAGAAAAGGCAAGAAAAGGAAACAGATAAACAAAGGCCTGGCAACAAGAAAGCACATAAAATGTTTAAAAGAATGGAAAGTAGCATAAAGAGGTTAGAGTGTAAGATGTATGGGAAGATACAAGAGGCTGTGGGATGGAGATACTAGTTGAACCAGATCATGGAGGGCCTGAGTGCCAGACTACAGAGCTAGAACTTAGCCTGTAACTGGGGACAAGCCATGAAACAGTATTTAAAGAGGGGATACAAGGACCAGATCTGTGCTTGCAAAGGATGCTGTGGCTGCTATGTGGACTGAATTGAGAGCATGATTTAAGGCAGAAAGCCCAGTGACAAGGGTCTTGAAATAGTTCATCTGGAAGACACTGAGTCCTGAGCTGGGGCCTAGGGAATAACAAGGTGGGGGCAGGCACAGATGTGAGACATGAGAGGCATTTGGGGGAGGGAATGGCTAATGCAAGGGTTGAGGGAGGAAGGGGCCTCAGCCAGTTTTACAGGTAGACAACAGAGATGGTGTAAGGCCCTGGAAGAGCCCCACTTTGAGAGAAATAAATGTCTCACCTGTTTGGGCTTTAGTTTCCACATTTACCAAAAAAGATTAACACGAGGAGTTGTTGTTTAGTTGGTATAGAGTTTCAGTTTTGCAAGATGAAAAAGTTCTAAAAAACTATTGCACGACAATGTGAACACTTAAAAATTAGTTAACATGGTCAATTTTGTGTTATGTGGTGTGTTTTTTTTAACCACAATTAAAACAACAAAAAAGATTATCGTCACTGCCTTGCCTCCTTCCAGGCTTGCTTGAGCATATACTTTTATTACGGTGAAGAATATTTTTAAAATGTATTTTAATATAAATATGATTTTCCATTAAAATGAACATCTATTTTTCATTTTGGGGAAGTAAATATGTATACACAGGATAAATAATGAAGGTGATGTCTCCATTTCCTAGTGGCTCAGGGCTCTTTCCCAGGCTGTCACTGTTACCAGTTTTCTTAGATATCCTTACCGGGGATTTTTAACTGACAGGGCAGAGGGAGGGCAACCCCAATCTGGAAGACCCACTAAAATAGCAGACACATTTCCTCTGGCTCTGAGTCTGCTTCAGGAATCTCCTTTGGGTGCCTTAAGGCTCCTCAGGCCCTCAGCCACTTCAGTATGTCTCTGGACACATCTGGGGTGTCAGTGTTCACTTCAGGAATTGGGAAGGCCCAGCACTGGAAAGCAGGGGAGAGGGCAGGAAAGGAAGGAAACAGACACATAGAAAAAACTTCAGAACCAGGGTGGATCACCGAAGGCTGGGCCTCAAGGGTTGTGCAATAGCCTTGCTGTGGGCTTTGACCCCTCCTGTTTCTCCTCCCCTTCCTGCAGCAGCTGGGTTGGGTCAGCCTAGGTTACAGTTACAGGAACTGTACAGTGGCCAGGGACATCTGATTGCTGTTCCCTAACTCCAGGCCCACATGTTTCAATTGGGTGACTTCATGAGGAATCTCAGTTTAACATGTGGACTCCTGCTCAGGGTCTAGCTACTAGCACAGCCTAAAACATTCCCTTTCTCAAGGGTGCTGGTGTCTTAACAGGAGCCTCCGAAAGGCTGAAAGGGCCTGTGAGCTGAGGGAATGATGTGAGTGGTAGAATGGCAGTTGGCAGTTGGGTTGAGATTGTACATAGGAACAAATGATATTCCCAATCACCGATTTGGGTAGACTGGGTATAAACATGGTCACAGGATCAGCACAACCTGTAGCATAGCTCATTGTGGAAATTGAAGAAGAAAAATATGCAGTGTCTGGCACTAGACACTCCACAGACATGGTGGCGGTTTTATTTTTGCAGAATAGAGGCTGGCAGGGCTTTCCATCTAGTCCAGCGGTTCTCAACCTGCGGGTCGCGACCCCTTTAGGGGTTGAATGACCCTTTCACAGGGGTTGCCTAAGACATAACAGTAGCAAAATTACAGTTATGAAATAGCAACAGAAATAATTTTATTGTTGGGGGTCACCACAACATGAGGAACTGTATTAAAGGGTCACGGCATTAGGAAGGTTGAGAACCACTGACTAGTCTAGCCTCTCTCATTTTACAAAGAGAACGGAAACTCAAGGAGCTGTCTCGGTTCAGCTGTTACATGTGTGACTTTGGGCATGTGACTTCCCTTTGTGGGCCCCAGCTTCTGGCTGCATCTATAAATTGAAGGAGTTTTACTGTAGGTTCCAGTCAGCTCTAACATCCCATGAGGGCATGCATCACAAAATCACACTGTGAGATTATGGGAGATTGGATAGGCTGGTGGGACAGGCATTTTGGAGGCTCTCTAGAGATTCTCAAATCACAAGATAGAGAAGGCTGCAGACTTTTTCCTTACAAGTTAAGATTCTGAACCCTGGGACTGAGTTACACTCAATGTTCAACCTAGATAAATTGAAAATTGAATTGCTTGACTTGTTCATTTTTCCTCTTAACAGTTCACCTGCCAGGGTGACCTAGCCTGGTGAGGAGACAGAATCTGTGCAGAAAGCGGGGACAGGGGAACAGTATGGGGAACAGGAAAAGCTTTGAGATGAGGTTCAGTGAGAGGAGTAAATGTTCATGAAACCATTTATCCCTCAAACCCTCCTTCTAGGACTTCTCTGAGTAAATCTAGATGCTTGTGGTCTGATGGGAGAAGAAAAGAAGCCACAGTTACTTATCTTCAGGTGCTGGATTAGGGTGGGAGAGAAGGCCTGGGTGCAAGGACATCCTGTTCTGTTGGGTCAGGAGAGGCAGAGAGTTGATAAAGGGACAGGTTGGTTCTGTATGACCCGCCTCTAGGTCTCAAGTAGGGTATCTGGCAGTTGGCAACATTTGGAATTTTGTTCCTCTTTCTGAGCTCCTTGGCTTCCCTCTTCAAGATAGTCACTGATTATGAAGTTCATAGCAATGAGGGAGACAGAGCTCTTGCCCTACAGAGTCCTTAACTTGAAACAGGAGATAGACCAGTCAGGAAGGAACTGACAGAGATTTTAAGGATCATTTAGATTCTAGGCCAACCCCTCCATTTTGTAGATGGGGAAACTGAAGCTCAGGAAGGGAAGTAACCTGTTCGAAATGACAAGGCAGAGCTCGGACCACAGCCCAGGGATTTGGGAGTGCTGTCCAGGTGCTCTTTTCACTACTAATGGCAACATCCCTTGACATCTGAACTGCATATCACACCAAACACAGTCTCCTCATGTCCTGGGCATCATCTCCTCTAACTTCATAACTACTGCTTTTTTCTGCACTTCAAAATCTCGCCCATCTTAATCAAGGATCCAGTAGGGGCCAAGGTGATAAGTTTTGGAGAAGGAGCTGACCTTCTTTTATAGTCTCCTCTCCCATGGTCCTTTCTGCTCCAGACCTACTCCTGGTCCCCTGAACAACCCAGGCACTCTCTTCCTCCACAGTCCATCGCTATTATTTCCTGCACATTGACAGGTTCTCCCTAACTGTTCTTTACTTGAACTTGCCTGACCTCTAACTTGGGGGTGGAGGCACACATTATGATCTGAAGGATAAACTGGGTATATTAGTGAGATTTTCTTTTAGGTTTCTCTGGGGAAAAGTAAAACACCACCAATGATTTTTTGGTTTACCCTTTGCTCTGTTTCAGCCACTCTTCCAAATGAGTGTCTTAAGTGCCTGGAAATGTGATAGAGAGAGGTGGAGTGGTGGTGGTGGTGGTGGTGAGGGGGAAGCCCCATAAAGCATCTAGGGAATGCAAAGATAACTCCTGGGATGTACAATTTTGCCTCTAGTTCCTCTGGAGATCTTCTTACCACCATGACTAGGGAGACAATGGATGGGAGAAGAGGTGCAGGAATGGATCTTAACATATAGTTGGAAGGAAATGCAGGAATAGAATCTGAGCTAGAAGGGATCTTAAAAATCATGTCATTGGTGCAATTCTGTCATTCAATCAGTGGGAAGAAATCACTTGCTCAAGGTCTCATAGCCTAGGAAGGGTAGAGCTGGGACCAGAAACAGGTATCCAGTCCACAGATCTTTCCACTATAAGTTCTCTGTTGCCTGTAGGACAGTCTAACCTTTTATTATCATTCAAGCTTCTTTGGATGTGACCCTGCCTCTAGTCCCATCTCACCACAGCTTTCCCCAGTGTCCGATAGCCCATGATACTGTGCTATGGACCATTCTCAAAATATTTCTTGCACTTGCATATGTCTTGCCTTTTCTCATGCTGTTTTCTTAGGTAGGAATGACCTTCCTCTTTATACCTCCACAGAAAAGTCAAGTCCTACATCCTTCAAGACACAACTGCAATGTCTTCTCTGTGGATAGTCTCCTCAGACATCCCTTCCCCACTCTAGCTAGCTAGTCACTCCCTCTTGTCTGTTCCTAAAGTGTTTTGCATAAATCCCTATTAGAGCACTATACTGTAGTGAAATTACATATATACACACACTGTGAGGTGTGAGGTCTGGGACTTGTCTTTATTTCCTGGGCCTGAGCACATAGCAGGCATTGAAGAATAAATTAATCAGTGCATCTTCTTCTTAGACCATTCTCCTTCAGTACACACATACACATTCATGCAAACAGCTTACATTACTTAGGAAACAACTTCAAGGGCAGGCCAAAACAGATCCCATTTGGTCTGGAAAAGGGGAGGCTCAAAGTAGAGATACCATCTCAGATGGGTGGGGAAGTGAGTCAGGGCTGGAAGAATTCTAAGCCTCTTTTGGAAACCCATACATTCCCTGACCTGAACCCCATTCAATCCAAAGGGCAAACATTCTTCGCCCCAAAACACTGGCAGTGGCTTTGCAACCCTCTTTCCTGTGTACCTACCCAGGGTGTGGCCATACACACACACCCACTGCACACACACAACTCCCAGTCATCTAGCCTGTGATCTTGCCTTTCAAGTGTTCCTTTCATGGTCTTAATCTTGGCTGTGTGCTTGGCTATGTGACCTTGAGCACTGCACTTATATTCTCTGTAACTCGTCTATGAGATGGGGATAATTACCCCTGATTACCTCACATGGGAACTGGCGGAGACATTAGAGGAAAGGTTTTTTAGAAATTGCTAAGTATTATATAAGCATAATAAATAATTATTGGGCAGCCTGGTCACCTTGTTTCCTTACCCACCCAGGTACCTCAGTATTAGCAAGAACAGCCATCCCTATGTCCCTTCTCCCCACCCTTGGTTCTCCTACTTTCAGAAGAACCCAGAGATTCATATTCTTCTTGATTCTTCAGAAACCTTCCTTGTTTTCATCCTCTCTGATCAGTCCTGTAGTCTCTTTCCATTTAGGAGTACCATTCTATAGTCCTGTCATTGATGGAGAACACACTAGAGTGGGAATTAAGAGACCTGCCCCTATTTGCCAACGTGTCTAGCCATGTGTCTTGGTTAAATTGCTTCTCCACTTTGGGCCTCATTTTCCCCATTGGTAAGATGCAGTTTCTTGTCTTGCTTTCCTCTTAGGTATTTTGAGCATATAGCCATCAGTATATGGATAGAAATGTGTTTTGAGAAATGTGGCATGAGGATGAAGAAGGTTGTTATTATCTCAAGGAGTCAAGAAAAGGTGAAAACAATTTCAATTGCTCAAGCCTTGGGTCTCCCCCATTTGGAGAAACAGAGCAGCTGGGTGCAGGGAGGAGCTTACACATTTACAATGCACCTTTTTAGGTGAACTGGAGAAAGCCCAGAGCTAGGAGTGAGGAGACTTGGATTCTTCTTTCTGTTCCCTGGGAAAGTCATTCCCCCCCTGGGCCTAAGTTTCCACATATAAAAATTGGTGAGGAGTAGGTTGGGGGGATAGAAGGAGACAGTCTCCATGGGTTGGCACACAAGGGTCTGAACTCACCTACTTTCTAAAAAAGAGACTCCCAGGTCCAGACTTCTTTCCCCTCATGTCATGGAGTGCATGGGCAACAGGACCCGGAGACCCATTTTATGGGTGGTGATCCAGGAAAAGAAAGGATAAGGCATAGAGTGGGTGGGCGACTGGCACAGGTTTACAACTGTAAACTAGAACTTGTCTCCTGGATCCCAGCCTAGACCTATGTTATTAGCAGCGGAAGACGCTTTGGGTAGCTCCCAAGCTTTCCTGAGGACTGGTGTGCATATAGGGAGTAGCCAATGGGCGCGTCAACTCTGCGGAGCAAGCGGCTCCGGTCAAGCAAGAAGACCGCGCTGGGTCCCGGAGTGCCATTTCCGCGTGGGGAGACTCGCTGCTGACCCACAGGTGTTCGCTTGCAAATCTGGATGTGGAGGAAGCTTTCGTGACGCGGTCACAAGCCCCACGGTCTCTATGCCCAGCTCTGCACTCCCACGTGCTCCGTCTCGGGGAGGACACGGCCACTCTGTCCTGGGGAGGACCCCGCTCTCCTTCCAGGGAAGGGTCGGCTTAGTGTCTGAGCCGTCCCACCCCCTCGGCTCCGAGGTCTCAAGGGAGACTAGAAGATACCTCATTTCTACTCCCCGCGCCCGCTCACCCTTCCCAGCCCTGCGGGTGCCATTTACCTGCCTCTCCACAAGGCTCCGAGGGGCGCGGGTCTGCTGGTGGGACACCGCGCCCTGTGCTGGAGGTTGCACCGCACTGCACCTTTTGCTCCGCAAGTTCCTCTGTGTGCAGCCCGCAGCCAGCACCGCCCGGGCGCCCCCTCAGCTCTGCGTACAGACCAGCGCTATGCTCCCTTTTTCCTTCCCTAGGGCGTCCCCTCCCTCGGCCCCGCCCGCCCCCCCAGTACACCCCCTTCTCCCCGCCCAGCTGCAGGGCCTCACCCCCCAGCTGCATAGCCTCACCCCCCAGCTGCTTGGCCTCACCCGGCTGTGGGCTCCGACCCTTCCGTCCCCTGCAACGCCTGCTTCCTGGACCTGAGGCAGAAAGCCTCTCACTTGCTTCAGCTTGCCCAGCCTGAGGCCAGTCTCCAGAAAATGAGGCTGAACATTGGGTGCTGGTGGAATCAGGCTTTGTTTGCTCCAAGTGGCTGCGTGGTGGTGGGCAAGTCACTGCTCCTTACTGGGCCTTGGCTTTCTTGTGATAAAATAGGTACAATCCTGCGTGCATCCTTCATAGGGTGATGGTTAGGGTCAAATGAGATCTTGGAATCCAAAGTATTAAAGCCACTGGAAAAATCTGATTCTAACACAGGCCCAGTTGAGGAAGGGAATGGCCCAGGCTCACCAAGGAAGTGAGTGGCAGTGCATAGACTCAGAATCTACTACACCACCCTCTCTCCTTCACCCCAACTGATGTGTCCTCCCTCCAAGTCTCAACAGTTCTTCACATGTCCAGACAGTAGGTGTCCAGCCTCACACCTCACTGCTTCCTATCCCAGAACATTCTTCACTTTCTGGCTACCAGGTTCACCCAAACTACTGCTTCCTTGCTGGTGACTCTGCAGGCTCCAGAAAAGAGAAGCAGCCGAAGACAGCTAGTGAATGGCCAGAGGGCTAAAGGCAGGGGAATGGGCAGTGTCTAGGGACAGCCTCTCTGGGACTCTGGGTGGGGTGAGGGTGGGGGCATTTATCAGATCCCTCTTTACCAGCCTACAGCCTTGGAATAATTAATAACAAACAGGTCAGCTCTTTCTTTCTTTCTTTCTTTCTTTCTTTCTTTCTTTCTTTCTTTCTTTCTTTTTTCTTTCAGGTTTTAAAACTTCTTATTTGCATATTTTAAAAAATTGTGCATTCCAATAATTAAAATAATTTGAACAACAACAAAAAAATGGCACTCTGATTAAACTGCATTTTACAGCCTGCAGGACCCCCTGGACCAGCTTGGTTTTTACTCTAGATTTCACTGCCCTCCCACCAGCTTCTTCCTTCACCAACATGAAAGTTCTTTTTCTTCCCTGCCAGCCAGACAGGCAGATGGGAGAGGCAGGTGCAGCCTTGGTTGTCAGTAGTTCTCTGATGTGAAAAGGGGCAGCACAGTCACTTAAACTGATCCAATCTCTTTGCATCTTACAAAGTTAAACAGCTAAAAGAAGTAAAATAAGAAGGCAATGCTTGTGGAATGTACAGTGCATATTGGCGGTGCGTGCCTCATTAGGATTCGCCTGCTTGCTTCTCCTGTTCAATCGTTTCTTTTGAAGGCAGCAGATTTTTCTCTTGCGTTTCTGTCTTCTTCAATTTCGACTTATCGAATTTTTCAATCTCAGCCATATTGGGTTTGTCAGACATGATTGCAGAGGAAGCCGAGCGAGGTGCGCGAACTAGAGGAGTCGGATCTGCTCAGTGACCACCGCCAAATCCAGGCCAGCTCTTTCTCCCTTGCAAACAAAGATCTGTTCCAGGACATCTGAGGCACATACCTTCAGTCACAGAATCTCAGATTACATCTAGGAAGTGCTATCATTTTAGAAAGACCTACCACACAAAGGGAATGTTGTGCAAAATTGCTCATCTTCATCAAAACATGTTACTTCTGTGTTATCTCTGTGGGTGTGTATTTTGACCCAGCTACTCCTTTTTCTCAGTCTGAAAATCACCACTCAGGGAAGTCATCCTGAGCCTGGACAAGGTCTCAAATTTCATTCTGCCTAAAACTCACCTGTAGCTCATTTTAAGAAAGTAGACTTTTGGGTTCTACTCCAGAAGCTCTGATTCAGGAGATCTGGAATGTAGCCCAGAAATTTGCATTAAAAAAAAAAAGATGCCCAAATGATTCTGCTGCAAGTGGTTCTTGAGAATAGCCTTGAGGAAACAGCCCTGGCTTAGGATTCCTCCCACATCCTGGTTAGGGCCTTCTATTTACACTATAGGACTACTTACTACAGTTCTCAAAAGTAACTATTTGCCCACCTCATCTACTAAGTTGTGGTTTCTTTGAGGATAAGGATTATCTTTTGTTCTAATGAAACTTTATTTTTATTTATTTATTTTTTATCCTCAACCAAGGACACTTTTCAATTTTTTGTTCAGATAGAGTGGGAGGGAGAGAGAGAGAGAGAGAGAAACATCGATGTGAAAGGAATACATCGAGTGGCTGCCACCCACACAGCCCAACCAGGGCCGGGGACAAACTGCAACCGAGGTACTTGCCTCTCTGGACTGCAGTCTGAGGCTCTAACCGCTGAACCAAAACAGCCAGGGTTCTAATGAAACTTCAGAATCATAGTCTTAGACTCAAACATCTTATAGTTCTCGAATTATTTAATGGTAGAACCTAAGTTGGAAGGACTCTTGGAGTTTTCTGGTCAAATCCTTTTTTTAAGACTCCCCTATATTTCATTTTGACATGAAATTGTCCAGTTTCTTTTGCACACCTCTAGTGACAAGAAACTCATTGCTTCTGAGGCAGCCGAGGCTCTGTTAGGATGTTCATACATATATCTACTTTTTTTTTTTTTTTTTTTTGGTACGTGTCCCTAGCAGGAACCAAACCCTGGTCTCTCTGGTCCACAGGCCGATGCTTCAATGCTGAGCCAAACCGGCCAAGGAGGATGTTCTTACATTTTGACAAAAACTGCCTCCTATTGACTTCTACCTTTTGGTTCTTGTGCCTGTTGGAGACAAAGTATATGCCTAATCTTTGTTCCCTTTTTCAGTTCTTCAGAAACATAAGGTTTCCCCCACTTCCCCTTCTCTGGAGTGAGGATGGGGAAGGAACCCTGTCAGGAAAGGCAGCTGGCCAAGGGGCCATTGGAAAGTGGCAGTTTCTGTTGTTATTAGATGAGAAAAGGAAGGATGAAAGAGAATTCCTATCCTGGGGAGACCATAGTCTGAGAAGAACCTTCAGGGAACTCTCTAATCCAGTGGTTCTCAACCTGTGGGTCCCAACCACTTTGGGGGTTGAACAACCCTTTCACAAGGGTCACCTAAGACATAACAGTAGCAAAATTACAGTTATGAAGTAGCAAAATAGTTTTATGGTTGGGGGTCACCACAACATGAGGAACTGTATTAAAGGGTTGCGGCATTAGAAAGGCTGAGATCCAAATAAATTTAGGACAAGGGCCTGACCTTAGGATGAGTCGGGGGGTGGGGTGCTAACTGAAGGGGTCAGGGGAGGAATCACCTAGAGATAAAACTTTAATGCCACCTTTTTGGTGCAGCCTTCCCTGACCATCCTATTTATAAATTCTATTCCCCCTAACCTCCTTCCCTGCCTTGTTATTCAATAACACCTAACATCATTTTGTATATTTAACTTACTCTTAAAATCTTTTGCTGTTGTTGCTCTTGCTGCATCCCTCAGCTGAAGCTCACAGCTCCTGTTCATCAGTCCAGTCTCAGTGCTCTCTACTCTCCCCAGCTCTGGATTCCTGTAGCTGCCCCCTTTTCTCTCCCTTTGAGGACTGGGGAGGTAATAATGCCCAAATGTTTCAAGCCCAAGGGTACTTCACCACCCCTTCTGGATGCCCTATTCGCTGCCCACCCCTTTGAATAGAGAGCCTCCTCAAATTACTGACATGGGATGGCCATCTGCTTCCTACTAGACTGATACAGAGGCCCATTCTCCTGTAGCCCCTTGCTTTTGCCTTGACCACAACACTAACATTCTTTGTTATAATTGTCTACTCTGTTTGTTGACTCCACACCTAGAACATAAGTTCCTTGAGGGCATTAAGCCAACACTAAGCCAATACAGAGTAAACATTACTGAGAATGTGTTAATGAATGAATGAATGTCATGAAAGAAAAGATCACTAGGAATTATAGTATCAGGGAAAGCTGTCAAGAAGAGTAAACCTGAGAAAGTCTGAAAGGATAACAGGATGTTTTATCAGCCTCTAGACCAGACTTCGCCTCTGAGAACTATACTCCTATGTGTAGCTACCTACTTGACATTTCTATTGGGATAGCATATTGGGGCTGAAACTCTTGACTTCCTTCTCTGGCTTCCCTCAGTCTTCTCTCAGTAAATGGAACCATCATCCATCCAGTTCTCTGTTTTATTCATAGAACTCAACCCAGTCATCTACTTATCTGTGTACTGATTTGGGGTCTGCCTTTCCCATTTGACTGTAAATACTATGAGAACACAGACTAAGTATGTATTTTTATCATAGAATAACCAGCATGTAACCCAATGACTGTCTAGTAGGTGGGGGAGAAGGGTTGGGAGGTAGGGTGAACATGGATGGTATCTCTCAACCATCTCAGAAACTTGAATCACCAGGGGGAAATAACAGCATGAATCACAGAAGAAGTTTAATGACCACATCAAATTATTTTATTCCATTACTCATCAGGAGCCCAAGTCTGTGCTTCCGTGATCTTGTCTCCTCTTGGCCTGTCAGTTGTGACCCTCAGGACACTTTGTCTTATTCTGTGCTTCACCCTTCTCCTTCCTCTGCAGGCAGCACAGAACAGTGAAAAGAGATCTGGAGGAGGTGGACCAGGGGTGGGATGGTGTGGTGTCAGAAGACAAGATCATGGAGTCAGATCTTGGTGACCTCTTCTCCCCATCTCACCCTCACACATGCTATGTCCTGGGAAGGTGGCACAGTGGTCTAGAACATGGCCTCTGGGGTCCTACAGACCTGTGTTTGAATCCACTTATTGGCTGTGAGAGTTTAACCTCTGAGTCTTAGTTTCTTTATCTGTAGAATGGGGATAAAAATACCTACATTTTATGGTGGTATGGATTACGGTAAGATATTATATGCAAAGTGTTTCACCTGGTAACTGGCACATAGCTAGTGCTC